TAAATGCCTTGTATGGCCACTTTAAAACGATCGCCTCCTCCACCAGACAAAACTTCTGGTTGACGTTATCCTCACGTCTATGTTGTTGATTAAGTATCTCTCTTGAACAAACAAATCTGAAACAAATCTCGTCGCTGTCAGTAATTTCCTTTTGATGTAACCGTGATTTTCGGCTCCGGTCGTGTCCATTTTTGCACTCGCGTCTTTATACCACATACTTCCCGTCATCTGAGATTATTTGGAATCCGGACCGAAGCTCAAGAGAGTTTCCATGTAAACTCTATAAGCATACAAACTGTTAGATGTGGAAAGATTTTCGTTCAGACTCACTCCGACATCCGAAGAAAACTATGTGACCAAAAATTTGTAGCTGCTACGTTGTCATGGTTAGTCGTGTTGGAACCGTCGTTCGTTACTGTAAGTGCTTTGACATATAGAAGGTATTTTCCAATTCTAGATAGTCTTCGCCTGCTCCGGAAATGTTAAATTCGGAAGGTTATTTATCCTATCTTATGCTAATTTCCATCTTCTATACTTGTTTGGTGGGAGATACGTCACACAGATCTAATTCTGATTTCGTGCATTCGCACGAATAAGAATGAACTAAAGGCATTTTAAAAATATTTAAAAAAATTATGTCAAATTTGCTGCAAGTCGTTGGTGAAGCAAGTCATCCACAAACATTCCATTGATAATTATGCATCGAATATATCATTTTGTCGCATTTTGCTTCGGAAATTCATTTTCTAGCCGACGTTATAATATCTTTACCACTCAACAAATTCATGCCAGTTCTTAATGCCTGTTTGCCCAAAACCTTAACACCAGACACAGGCGTCACGGTTTTTATTGCCAATCTTACTAGAGGGGTGGCCGAATTGAAAGTTCCTTTAAAAATACCCCCTAATCCGTGTCCTCGCTGTCTTCGAACTCCTCTAAAAGTGTCAGCTCCATCTCCGGCGTCATTTAAGTAATATCTATCGAATATCAAAATGAGGTTAACTTAAATTTGTCGTTAATGAGGGCTATGTAATAAATGGGTTGAAATACCTTACTCACGACGCGTCCTGGTTTGTCTTCAATGGAAACTATTCTTACAATCGACTCCCGTGTCACCTACCATTTGAGGTTCTACTAACTGACAATATACGTAAATGCTATAGAATCTCTGTCTGACGTCTGTGATGTAATTCACTTTATGTTTTCCATCTGAAAATCTCATTTTGTCGACACCTAACAATGTTGCTATTTTTTTGCTCTCGACGATAAGTAAGCCAGCCGATATCGTTAACTTAACTCTACTGTCGATGTCGTCGACGTTAATTCTGAACATGTCGCCGAGTGTTACCATTCCTGTTGCTCCCCACAGATATTCCAGTAGGCTTTTCACTGTCGGATAATAACCTGCTTCCACGCGCATTTTCGTCGATACTCCGGGATCGGACTGCACAGAAGCGACGTTTTCACTACCACCGACGATCATTTCTAACCACAGTTTGCCTTCATTCACGTTAAACCAAGAATGAGGATATTAAATTTCGGCTAAACTGATTTGAGGTCTATAGGTTGCGATAATCGGGTAGTGAAAGTGGTCAAAGCAATCCACACAGACCCCTGTTGATCGTCAACACTTAAATTATAGATGATACAGGCAAATATGCTGAACAGAATGACGATTTGACAAAAGAAAATGATTTCCTCTCGTGGTAATCTATGACCAAAAAATAACAACTGTGTCTCTACCCTAGATGCATTGTCCTTAGACTCGGTCATTTTTTTGAGTGCGTGTTATTTTGCTTTATTCTGTTTTCCAATACATAGACTTTTTTGGTCCTATTGATTCCTTTTGATATGTTAACCTGAAGGCGTGTATCTCGCCCAGCTTTTTGAAAGTTTCTGATATTTGTTGACATCATCATGATCATCATCATCATCATCATCATCATCATCGTCGTCGTCGTCGTCGTCGTCGTCGTCGTCGTCATCTTCATCATCGTCATCTTCCCACCACATCCTTGTCGATGTTTTCTAATCTTCGCTGTGTGACTGGAGATTCCGTTCGATGATTCGTCGGGATTCTTTGCTACGTAACGAGAATTACCGGAGTATTTTGTGTTGGAGTGGAAACTACGTTTCCCATCTTTTCTGAATACGTTTCATTACGTATCCAACTTTGAGGAATATTTATGTTTCTGAGAGCCGTCAGGAAAGTGCTCGTACCCTCGGGATTGCCATACTTAGAGATCTATGACGCGAAGTATTACTAACGAAGTCTACCAGATTCGAACCCGGAATCACCGATTGACCTTTGTATCCGAACTCTCCCTTTTCGTTCCAACTGATGACGTCTTTGAATCGATTATCAGCATTTCAGTTTTTGAAACGTGACGTTTTCGGTACACTCTGTGAGAATGGAATCCTAACGATAGCATTATGGGTGCCAGTGCTTGAACGAAACACTCCTTTTGGATGATGCGTTTCTTTTGCTTTAAAGGTAGTCTCTTGACTAATTCATGAAGACCGACTTTATGAAGTGACAAACGTTTCCTCTGTTGTTTCGTAAACTACACGCGACCTTGCAATATGTTTTGAATGCACTCACAGTTACAATTAATAAGACCTTCGTCGGCCTTTTCGAGGATCACTTTACACGTTTCAGATTTAGCTCGACACTGCAAGTGTCTAGTGTGTTTTCGAGAAAAAACGCCATGTTTCGAATGTTTGGAAATTGTTTCGATACGGGGCTACCTAATATAGACTTTTAAGGGAAGATAAACCTTTTGATATTGTTGGGGAAATATATCGGTACACAATCTGTGGTCAGCGTGAGTGTCTTGTTTCAGGTCTATTAGCAAATAGCCGTGGGGTTTAGACGTTGTGTCGTCGTAAGCTTCCCCCAGATGAGTCTTCCTCCCGGAAACATCTGTTGGGATAGACATCTGATGTGCAAAGCCTCTCTAGGGTTTTTCATCAACACAATGTAATGGGCGTTCAGACTGATGTTTCTGTGTTCTTTTATTTGGAAAAATAAATTTTGAACGATGTACATGACATTGACTTTTCTATGATGACTTTCCTTTGTAAACAACGACGTCACACTTGCGTCCACGTTTGTCATTAGATCGTCTAAGACTATCAAGTGCTTGTGCGAAGCGTCCAAATGATTTAGATTAGGCAAAACCTTAGTGAAAGTCAACGCCTTCTAAAACAATTTGAAAACAAATCGGTCAAACGTGATCATAAGGATGTAAATATGGTGTAATATATTGTTCGGTTCCCTTTATGAATCCTTTTTCGGGGATCAATCGTAGGCATTGATCAGGGAATCGATTTTTTTGGCTAGCCTGACCACCAATCTAACGCTAATTCCTTTTCTTTAACTTTTTTCGTCTTTGAAATTCTTTAATCTTCCAGACCGTGCCTTTATCTTTATTTTTGTTCTGCAACTCTTGATAGTAGAAAAAATTCAGCAATTGCTTGTTGATCTCCTCTCTTAAGTATGTACGGCATTCTCTTCAAAGGCTTCTCATCCTTTCTTCTGATAGAAATAGGGTGTTGGGTGTCTTCATTTATGTCCTCGTGGGCGAAGCCGTGCAGCCTCGAATATTTTCTACTGTTGTAGCTTCGAATGAGATCCAGTAACACGTCAGTGAACCTGAATGTCTGATTCAAGTGGAAGTATCTATACAAGATATTTATCAATTTACCTTTGAAAGATTCGGCAAAAGCAACTTTTTAACACTATGACACGCTACATGTGTGACGCCTATGGATTTATAATAACGTTTAAACGAGTCCTTCAGAAACTCCTTTCCGTGGTCAGATCTGACTAGTTCTGGTGTTCTTTGTTCATTACAGTGTATATGTCATGTGACCGTTATAGTGTATATGTCATGTGACCGTTATAGTGTAAATGTCATGTGACCGTTACAGTGTATATGTCATATGACCGTTATAGTATATATGTCATGTGATCGTTATAGTATATATGTCTTGTGGCCGTTATAGTATATATGTCAAGTGACCTTTATAGTGTATATGTCATGTGACCGTTATAGTGTAAATGTCGACCGTTATAGTGTACATGTCATGTGACCGTTATAGTGTAAACGTCATGTGACCGTTATAGTGTATATTTCATGTGACCGTTATAGTGTAAATGTCATGTGACCGTAATAGTGTATATATGTCATGTGACCGTTATAGTATATATGTCAAGTGACCTTTATAGTGTATATGTCATGTGACCGTTATAGTATATATGTCTTGTGGCCGTTATAGTATATATGTCATGTGACCGTTATAGTATATATGTCATGTGACCGTTATAGTATATATGTCTTGTGGTCGTTATAGTATATATGTCATGTGACCGATATAGTATATATGTCATGTGACCGTTATAGTATATATGTCTTGTGGTCGTTATAGTATATATGTCATGTGACCGTTATAGTATATAGGTCATGTGACCGTTATAGTATATATATCATGTGACCGTTATTGTATTAAGATGATCTGATCATTATATGAAATCTAACGATGTTATTTGTTAATAATGATCTTAAGTCGAGACGTATTAAATTTATTCTGATGAGGTGGTAACATGTTTATTTACTATCAATGATACTACATACATTAATTCATTGGTAGATTATCACTTATGATATATATAAATGATCTTACCGAAGTGTTCCCAATTAATAAGTTGCCACATATTAACACCTGTTTCGTGTTTTGCTGGTACGCATGGGAGAAAATCATGTCTGATTTGTCATCAAGTCTCCTCTTGTCACGCTAATTAGGCGGTAAATATAGAAATAGCATCGCCGTCCACTCGTGCCTTGAGTGATAGGTGTGTTCAAGCCACCCACGTAATGTTAACGTGGCATTCAGACTTATATAAATGGAAGCTGTAAAAGCCCAGTCCTGGAAAACTTCAAGCTGAGTATAGTTGATGCTACCTTCGCTCTTTTTATACAAGGAATTTAACCACCAGAATGAGCATGTTTAGATCAGGTAAGATAACTATAATATTTTCTTAGCCAATGTAATGATAGATATGCTTAAACACTCATATGTAAAGTAGCGTTTTATTCCCTATGTCAAATATTTCGTTTTAATTCTTACCTGATTTGTTTCATCAACTTGTGATATGTTTACGTATTAAGCCAACAAACACAAATCATTGGTTTGCACGGCTCTATATGTGTCTTGACAGACAGACATTGTGCCATTTCAAATGAAACAAAAGGAAAGAAACTTTATTGTGAAAATGAAAGCTACATATCTTGTATTCTAATATTATTCATTTGAAAAACTTGGTGATTGATTTACATGCGATTATTCAAGCAATTTTTACTTTTGTTGTTTAATCCGTGCCATGCTATTTCAGGATACATCTAATCAATTCAATATCGTTTGTATCAGAAGACATTTGTTATGAAAAAAGTGTTTAGTATTTTTACATCAACATTGCAGTGACGATATAGTTTGATAACAACATTAGTACGAGTTCCATAATCAGTAGAACTGATACTATCTTGTAAGCATGAAATCTGATCATTTTTGTGCTAATAATGTTACCTTTGAAATAGTTAAAGTGTCAACATCAGCTTATTTTAATGATTTGCTGCAGTACATTTGAAAAGCAATAAAATGTCATTCAGTATTGAAGTTTTGTCGTGAATCAAAAGGTTTATAATGCATATTTACTTCTATTTTTGTTTAGAAGTGGCAAATGGTTAGTGTATCGGTATGACATATATTTTAATAACATTGACATAATAATGAGATTTGTTTTGTATACCAATCAACCCCATATGATATGACTTCTGAAATAAGGAATTATTATAATGTGTGTTATGTATCTATTATTTCAGTTTGTATCCTCGCGAGCATAACGTATGCATACGGCCTTGACTCCACTGCGATCGATATAATTTTGCATACACACAATGATTTTAGAAGAAATTTTGCCAATGGGTTATATGGTTCATTTGCTGCAAACATGAAGAAATTGGTGAGTACTTTTATGTCTGTCCATCTAAACATCTTAAACATTCGTTTTCTATGACGATACCTAGATATTCCAGGTAGTAAAGAGTTATGGATAAATTTCTGAACTGATGGAAAGAATGACAAACAATTGAAAGGGGCTATTATTACAGATAAATTTCTGAACGGATGGAAAGAATGATAAACAATTTAAAGGGGCTATTATTACAGATAAATTTCTGAACTGATGGAAAGGATGACAAACAATTGAAAGGGGCTACTATTAAAGATAAATTTCTGAACTGATGGAAAGGATGACAAACAATTGAAAGGAGCTATTATTAAAGATAAATTTCTGAACTGATGGAAAGGTTGATAAACAATTTAAAGGGGCTATTATTACAGATAAATTTCTGAACTGATGGAAAGGTTGATAAACAATTTAAAGGGGCTATTATTACAGATAAATGTCTGAACTGATGGAAAGGTTGATAAACAATTTAAAGGGGCTATTATTACAGATAAATTTCTGAACTGATGGAAAGGATGACAAACAATTTAAAGGGGCTATTATTACAGATAAATGTCTGAACTGATGGAAAGGTTGATAAACAATTTAAAGGGGCTATTATTACAGATAAATTTCTGAACTGATGGAAAGGATGACAAACAATTTAAAGGGGCTATTATTACAGATAAATTTCTGAACTGATGGAAAGAATGATAAACAATTTAATGGGGCTATCATTACAGATACATTTCTGAACGCATGGAAATAATGGAGAACAATGTTAAGAATATGTATCATTAATACAATAATAGCAGATGATAGTTAAAAAGGAGCAATACTTTCTTTTTATACCAGCTTCCAGATCCCCAGTCTCAGAGAAGTTCGTAATACATTCCTAATATATCATACCTTATCTTATGATAATAGTTACTTTTCCCTCTCTACAAATTACTGCTTAATTTTGTATTTGCTTAATATCCTCAACTCCTTCTCAGTTTTGTATGCCCTTCCTATTTCCAAATTTCTTTTCTTGTTCCATGTTTTCATCAAAATAAAATACATATAAATAGGCAATGAAACTTACATGTAAATACAATAAAAAAACAAAGAAAAAATCAAATCTTCGGTTATGAATTTAATTGCATATATTGACGTTGCCGCTGTGTCTCTGTCTCTGTCTCTCCCTTTCTCCCTCCCCCCCCCCCCCTCTCTCTCTCTCTCTCTCTCTCTCTCTCTCTCTCTCTCTCTCTCTCTCTCTCTCCACCCCCCTCTCTCTCTCTCTTAGGATGCGTAAGCGTAGAGAGATATAAGTTTATGATTTTGTTTAGGATGTATGGTTTACTATGTGTTTATGAATCTTTTTCTAGAACGCAACACAGCCCGTGTCTAAAAGAAATTAAAACATGATCAAGATATCTTCTTCAGTACATTATGTATATCTTTAAGTGATATTGACCATGGTTTTCATCCAAATACTATTCTGTATAATTCACGATCATATTGCTTTATTACAGTTAGATTCTCTAAGAGTAGAAACCTCTCAAAATAAGCAATAGTGTATATACAAATATCGGGTAAATTAATTTTTCTGAACAAAAGGTGGTAATTTAGGAACCGATGAGCAGAAGTTAAGAATTGTTAATCATAGCTAACGCGTGTAGGATATTGATTTGAGGAGAAGGAATACCTCGCGATAGTAATATCATCATTATATCTTAAGGGCATATTTCTCTGAGATGTAAAAATATTTCATTTTTAAAGACTCAATATTTAGATAGAGACATTTAAGTGGGCATTTTTCATGATTAAAAAGAAGGGGTCTGCGTGCTTTAATTTTTGCAACTTTCAACCAGAAAACTAGTTTTTCAAAGATCAAGAGACCAGCTGAATTGTTTGTTTTCGGATCTCATTCCGCCATCAATAAAGTAGTCTACAACGGGAAATCTCTTCAAAACATCAAAATATCACCGTATGAGTATAACTATAGATAACAAAATGTACAAGACCACAAAAGTCCTTAATATTATATTGGAATTCATTTCAATTGTTTTACTGCCGATCACACTTAAAAGGAGCACAACCTTAATATCTCATTCAAATAGCTCGATACATGACCTTACACATTGCTGATGATCTCAGCTCATTACAGACTAGTATGACCATGTCAATAATTAGGATCAATTCGTCGACCTTTAACCATAAAAAAACATCTCTAGGTTATTCAATTCTGCTATAGTATACTAATGCTTTTTCTGACATTTGACATTTTGGTGACATATTGGCTAACCCATATTTTTATCACAGCTGTGTTAATGAAACTTTTCATATGCTAATCGATATCGATACTTAATTTGACGATTGATTTTTGGAGAAACATAAAATGGTATTTTTGTACGTTTGTTAAATGGCAATGTTTTCGCATTTTGACCTTTGTTACAACTGAACACAATTTTGTTACAATTTTGACCACATCAATTGCTTTTAGGCTGATAATGTGATGTGTATTAACGATATAGATGTCACCTTCAGATATTGTCTCCCTCTATACTCCCATTACTAGTTGGAGTGGTGGTAAAATTAAAAAAAAACATTTATATGTTATATAGGCAGATGACGTATAGGATCCGATTAGACAGTTGTTTTCATCTGATTGGACATGAAAAGGAATTAAGTCATCTGCTCAGCAACATTTGTATACGAGTATATCGTGCTTTCACCGTCAAACAAAAGTCACTAATTGTTCGGTAAAAAATCTTCCTATTTTGGGAATAAAGTAGTGATGAAAAATATTTTATTTACTTTTCCCCCCTTTTTCCAGGATTGGTCAACAGACTTACAGTTAGAAGCACTGCTCTCGCTAGATTGTGCGTTGGCTATCGCCCAGCCCGTCGGTACTTTCAATACTCACACTAATATCGGAATGAGCGCTGATGGAAACATCACAAATATTATCCGGCCATGGATGCTAGAGAGTCAACACTTTGTACCACAATTCCAAACTTGCATCAATATTCAACAATGCAAGAGATTTTTGACGGTGAGGATACCTTTTCAGGAGTGGGGAGGGGTGTTGCCAATTTGCTTATGTAACATCTATTAAAGCAGTTTGTGTGATGCATAAATTGATCGATTACAATGATATAGAATGCGTGTTAATGTGACATCCCATTTTCATAATTATAAAAGGACTGATCATTTTCATTTGTCTCATTCATCTTTTCTTGAGAACCATTATAAAATAAATATCTTGTTTCCAATATATCTAAACACCAATTTTAGGACTGATATTTTTTTCTTGCCCATTTCTAATGTACATGGCGTTGTATAAACTTCTCACTAGATTCACTTAAGTGTGATATTAGCCAATCGTTATGCGACAACAACATTACTCATGCGTTTAAGACCTCATCGTTCAATGCTTAAGAGTCAAAATTCTAAATTAACCGCTGTTTAAATAGACAGCTTATCTTTAAGATACGGTTATCCAGGAAAACCTTACTACGGAACGCATGTTAGCATATGATGTTCAAGTTTCTTAACCAAATTTTCATTGGAGGATATACCGATTCAGTTAAAAGATTAAGCATGCAGAAGCATATTCAAATGATCAAATGTTTATATTACCATTTCATGTAAAATTTCGAGTCCTAATACCTTTTTTCATTAACGATTCCTAATAAGACGAAAACTATAAATGTTGCATGTATGTATCATTGTATATCATGTACATATCTCTCATGTATACTGAAATATGCTATTGACATGTTTTTTTTTTTTTTTTATTTCATTCACATATATGATTTATTCAAGATGGTGCATGCTCGGCATAGAACTATTGGATGTGCCTTCACTGACCGTTGTCAAATTAGAAATATTCACGTGAACTTACTGGTATGCAAATATTCCGGCAGGTAAGTTTGAATACTGTTTAAAATACTTTTACTGGTTTCGTTTCCTATACCAGAATGGTAGAAAACATGTCTGTCCAATTGCACTTTATTATCGAAATTCTTATTTTGCTTCTTGTCAAGGATTTTTTCTTGATCTATGTCTACTGTAACCTGATAAAACGTAGCGTATCAGGCGTCCAGTTATAAGAACAAATAACATCTCACGACAGAACATAGAGTATTGTCCATTACTATGTATATATTTACTATATCTGAATTAAATATTTGCATCAAATTGTAAGAATGATCATGCTACTTGTTTTTCGATATGCCCTTTTAAAACTTGAACATGTTTCTACGTTTCGATCCATAAAATCGTTTGTTTCAGCGAGGATGCCATTGTCCCCTTCTTTAAGCCCGGTCTACCATGTACCAAATGCGATGAGGACAATGCATTCTGTGAGGAAGGTTTATGTGGTAAGCCATACCAATAAACAGTAAACAAAACATGAACATTGTATTACGATTGTGTAGGAAGTGATAAAACTTTTTTTGAAAATATAGAATCGATTCGCCTGTCATAGAGGATTAGAGGGAGAAGGAGAGTAAGTGTTTAGCGCGTATCAATTCCATTAAGTCAACCTTGATGTTCTGTGACAACTTTTTCTGTTACGCAATATTTAAATGTTATACGTTGTATTGCTCGCTTTACCAACCTTATGCAGAAAGTGTTAACTGCCCAATATTCTATCGGACGTACTATTGATGGACTGCAAATACTGATTAGAAATCCTGATAAATGTTAATATTTTAATCAATTCAATAATTATTTTTATATGTCAATAGAAGACTGAATTTTTTTTCTGTTTTATTCTTTTTTAAACAGTACCCTGCACAGGGACACCGTCTGAGTGTGGTATGTATTCATAAAATAAGGCAATAATTTATGTTCGAATTGATGCCATTTCTCCCCTCCAGAACTGAAATGTACATCTGTTCCTCTTTATTGACAATCTAAAGGTTTAGTTAAGATTTAATAAAAAAAATTAAGATACTAATGCATTATATATACCAGTTGAAATATACTTTTTTAAAGACTTTGATTGGAAATGCATGTTGGATGTGAAATTATTAGACACGCTTGTATTATAGATTGTCGGAAGACATGCAGAAAACACAACATTGGCTACGGTATACTGAACAGTACAACGTGCACCTGTGCGTGTTCTTACGGGTTAGGACCTAACTGTGATGGTATGTATGTACTTCATTATAAAATTATGCATTTCGAATGGCCTTTAGAAAAGCTATTACTTATTTCTTAACGAAAATGACAGCATACATATTTGTCAACTCCCAGCAACATCTTTGCATCTCCAACTTTTGGTATTCGCATGTTGCAGTTGATTCTTTATATAAGACCTAATCTGTGGACATGTTGGTATTTTCTTAGTGTTTTTCTTATATCTCGATTTTACAAAGGTGAATGCTATATAAAAAAGAATATGCTGTATTCCTCAGTAGGTCAAACTTTTCATTGCGATATTTTTTATATGCACAACCAAAACAGCTTTTGATGTTCATAATACAATGATATGTATTGCTTTAGTCAACTGAATGATTACGAGTTTTACGCTAATCGGATTTTCATGAACCATCCCTGAAGCGAATTATCGTAACATTTTTCAAATTGCTTTTTTTTTCAGTATTCTTTTAATTTTGATATATTAAAACATCAGCAGCTGATAAATATTGTCTGTGAAACGTTATAAGTTTATGGTACAAAGCTGTAAAATTTCACTTAACGATATAACTGTAAATGTAAATCGCGGAAATAACTAGAAGAAGAGACGAAATCCTATATTTGAGTATAGATCTTCTATGAAATTTCAGCATTAATCAAAAACTTTTGTTCGAAGCTTAAAAGACACGCATCGCCTCATGTGTATGACCCATTTGGGATCATTTTTCTAGCTTGCATCCAAATTGACCAATGAAGAAAAAAATGGGCGGAAGTCTTGTGTTTAGGCATGCGTCGGTTAGGGTAATCCCTTCTCAAATTTGATACAGCTGCAGCCAACATGACCAACTAATAAGAAAAAAATGAAAGTGGACACACACTGAACGTGATACAAAAGGAATCAGATATGTTAGCCATAAATATTGAGGTTGTTAGATTCTAAACAGCAGGCTGATATATATATGTTCAATATCCCATAACTATAAGCCCGTCCGTACTAATATCTATATCACTTTTACACTATCTATTGGATCGTAAATGCGTTTTAATTGATAAAAAAAATTTAATTGAGAGGGAATTGGAAACTTCAATTTGAATTAAATCTTATAAAGTATGTATCTATATATAAAAAGAAGAAACGTTTTATTACACAAAACGGAAACTTCGTAATTTGTCAATTTTAAGGTGAAAATGAAGAGAATAAGATCTTATTGAGGTGGCCAATTTGTTGCCTCATTTTCAACACCTGTGTACATGTAACGCCATTGTCCATATTGTGACATTGCATTAGATCTCTGACTGGCGTAGACATTGAACAAATCAGCGGGAAACAGACGGATTATTTGATTAAAACCCTTTAAATGAATTCTTACAGAAAGATATTTATAAATTCAATTTAACACTAGATTAAGATTTTTTTCAAAACAACCCGGAAGAGAATTGCCGGTGTATTGCTGAATGTAACTGATGGCCTTTTTATTTATATAATTTGCCTGGATATATCTAACTGGTATTTCTGTTTTGAGGTCATCATTTATTTTTCAATTAATCTGAAGGGTTATCTTTTTTTATCTTTATTTAAACTATCATTGTTTCATTTTGTTCTTGTAGAGGACTGTGTAAACCCTGAAATGTACGAGGACTGGGATGTATGTTCTGAAATCACAGAGCAAGATTGCCAAACTGACAGAGCTATCCTCGAGGAAATGTGTCCTGCTCAGTGCGCCTGTAGTGAGTACCTTACTCAAAAAATACATAATATAGATCTGATAGAAATTGCCTTTTTAAAGCCTCTTTTCATTTTGTTAATACGGCATATCAGAAGAATATGTAACTCAAAAATGCAAATGACAAATTAAACTATGGCTACTTATTGTTTATATATACAGTTAATATTTGATATGTTACTCACTTTACGTTCTTTAATATCAGGGCGCCACCCAAACGCAGTTGTAATTCCACAAGAAAGTCATCCTTCTGTCGGAAACCAAGTGTAATACACTGACTGAAGAATTGATAATTGGACTAGGTGGCGCTTTAGTTGCATGTTTGCAATCGTGAATGAAGGAAGATGGAAATTGTACGACCAGCGTTTGTTGATGTTACTTGCTGATGAAGATCAGTATGACTTGAATTGAACGATTGACGAAAAAAAAGCAAAGAAACTGTGATACTGGAAAGAGCAGATTTATCTAACTCGGAATTCGCTTCATTACTTATGCCTGTGAGATTTAGCCTTTGTACATAATGTGATTGGTGTAGAAAGAATGTCAAGAGTATGGTTAGTATTTTGATGTGTAAATAGTTTCCGGTAAAACAACATATCTTTTGAATGCGCATCTATTCATGATATCATGTTAATGTACATTTTGAACATTTGTAAATCAACAAAATTAGGACTGTTATGTGGTGTGCATATTTCCGTTGACGCTGGTGAGCTATGACTTTTGCTGTACTCATGTCTAATTCAAAATACATAGTAAAAGCTGTCGTCGTTCAGAATGAAACAAAAACGATGCGTCAACCGATAATCATGTCAACATTGGAAGGAGAGAGTATTACGACTGGTGTTTGAGTTCATTTTACAAGGAACGGAAGTCTATTATTGGCTATTGGCAACTTTCATGAACAAAACGGCTATTTGCAATCACATGATAAACCCGATAAACTGTGTATTTGATTCGTTTTCTTATCTTTCATTCCCTACTTACATTTTTGTTGTGTCATCCACGTATACATGTAATGCATAATGAACTGTTTTCATATTGGTGTAACAAAGTTCATTATTTATTTCAACGTATCCGCTAGGATTCGAATCCGAGACCTCTGGCGGACTGATCTTGTGGTCAGTCAATCGAGCTTTAGAGAAATCAAGCTGTAAAAGGTTAATCAAACTACATATAGTACGAACTAAGTATTCAAAATCATTCATTTTTCTAAGAATGGAATTTGGGAGTTTGGATCAAGAAGAATATGTAGACTAAGGCAATCCACTGATGGAGTATTTTTCTTCTAATATAAACAAGGAAGGTCCGTATCGTTATAACTGACAGGTAATCCGACAGATTCGTATGATAATGCATGATTTTTGTTTCTAAATCTAGATATATACTTTATTACGGAGTATTTCTTGATATAATCTTAGGGACGATATTTTTTTAGGATTCAAACAAATTAATCGAATATTGTGTCTTTCCTGTATAGCATTATACATGTATTGATACAAGAATCTATGAATATATCTACAGTAAGTTGATATTAATAAAAGTGTAAAGAGACACAAGGCCGCTTAGAAAGAACAGAAAAAATTATGACTAAAAGTTTAAAAGTGAACAAAGATCCAACATCCTGGACCGTATTCATGAAACAGTTCTCATGCTCAAGCATGAATTTTGTGCTCAAGCCTTATGTCTTCTTTTAGATGAAAATGAATAAATAAAACTGATTTTTCCAAAGCCTTATAAAAAAATTGAAATATTTGACATTTGTATCATTTAATATTATTTAGGTGAATCAAAAAGTGAAAAAAAGTTTCCTTGAGCACAAAAACTATGCCTGTGCATGAGCATGGTTTCATTAATACGGGTCCAGGTATTCATTTAAAATTATATTGTCCTTCCATTCGTCCATCCTTCAGTTCCTATATTAAGTGTTTGCTTGTCCTATGCTTGTATATATTGTTTATTTTTGTTTTTTGTTTTGTTTTGTTTTGTTTTTTGTTTTTTGTTTTTTTTTTTTTTTGTTTTTTTAGTTTTTGTTCTGTTTTCATTTTTTAATACAGGTTAAAGGTTGAAGGCAAAAGAGCAAGGTTACTTTTACTAAGAAAAGTAAAACAATGTCCAAACCATATTTCAGGTTCAGTAGGCGCGATTTTTTCTCTCGCCTTGGGTAGGTATAAATAGTTTTTTTACCAACGTGAGATTCCCATTCCGTCCAATGCTTTGTGAGATATGGCCCTCAACCATCGAAAACAGCAAACACAAGGCTTAACATTTCTCTCAGATTGAGATCCTCTCATCTCCAGAAAGGTGAAGCTTTCTATTAATCTTGGACCTTTATCGAAGAAAATACTACCTTGTGAAAATCAGTATATGCACAATATTTGACGTTGTATCAGCAAGTACTTTTTCGGAGAAACTATCTTGTTTTTATGCTTTTCAGGTCTGGAAGTAAAAGGTCAAGTTCATTGTTAGTAAATAGAACATCTTAGGCGTAATGTATTAGGTTTTCATTAAAAGTTGAAGTTTGATACTATTTTTAACATTGCTTAATGACAAAATACAATACTCCGAGTTCTCAGAACTGCAGGAACACCTTGTCTTATTCTCCTTTTACTTTTTCTTGCACCGCCGTATAGATCTCTCTTTTATTAATACTGTGCCCCATTTTCAATGAATTTGAATTTGAATTAGAAATCTATTAATGTGAAATGCTTGCGTTTCAGCGTAACATCTTATTATATAAAACGAAATGATAATATGTATACCTGCCCTTTACATAAACATCTATGTACTCTATTTTTGCTTTTAGACTTTGACTATACATTTTGATATACGCAATAAACATCAGCAATCCCTGAGGAATCTCACAGCGAAACATATCTGTTAGTGTGATTGGAAAATCAAAGTGATTTATATAGAACAAAAACCGATTAACTATAACCTGCCTTAGGCAGGCGACTCATTGAATTATTTCGCAGAACGGTGAACTTTCTTTAGATTAGTAAAAATTATCCATAATGTAGAAACACAAACAAACAAAAATCTTATGAAGACATCACCTGAATTTAGCCAACAAACGCATTTACATTTGAAGCAGTAATACCGAAAGCTTGGAGGAAGATATGAGCATGCTAAAAGGCAGTGTGGTAAGGAAAGCATTTACTACTCTAGCACGTCCACATAAGGGGTTATCACATGTAGACCATGTGAACATTTTCAGATGTGACTTGCATTTAATATCGCGTTAAATCTACAAATATTATGTATCGGCACAGAGTATGCAATGCACATATCTAATTTGAGAAAATACACAAACTTTTATGACACCTGGACTTTAAATCAGAAAAAAAATACATGTCATAATTTATCAACCTGATGTCTATGTTTAGTCAAAACATATTTTATATAAGATGCATGTCACAGGAAAAAGCAGTGTAATGTACAGCGTGTTTCCGAAAACATGTTCCGAACTTATATCTTACCAAAAGGAAACGTTATATAACGTTATTAGTATATAACTACAGTGTCAACAATGCATCAGTAAAACAGGGACATTTATACAGCATTATTTGTATATAACTCCATGTGTAACAATACACCAGTAAAACGGGGACATTTATACAGCATTATTTGTATATAACTCCATGTGTAACAATACATCAGTAAAACGGGGACATTTATACAGCATTATTAGTATATAACTTCATGTGTAACAATACATCAGTAAAACGAGGACATTTATACAGCATTATTAGTACATAACTTGAGGTGTAACAATACATCAGTAAAACTGGGACATCTTATACAACATTATTAGTACATAACTTCATGTGAAACAATACATCAGTAAAACTGGGACATTTATACAACATTATTAGTATATAACGCCATGTGTAACAATACATCAGTAAAACGGGGACATTTATACAGCACTATTTGTATATGAATTCAGATGTAACAATACATCAGTAAAACGGGGACATTTATACAGCATTATTAGTATATAACTTCATGTGTAACAATACATCAGTAAAACGGGGACATTTATACAGCATTATTAATACATAACTTCATGTGAAACAATACATCAGTAAAACGGGGACATTTATACAGCATTATTTGTATATAACTCCATGTGTAACAATACACCAGTAAAACGGGGACATTTATACAGCATTATTAGTACATAACTTCATGTGAAACAATACATCAGTAAAACTGGGACATTTATACAGCATTATTAGTACATAACTTGAGGTGTAACAATACATCAGTAAAACTGGGACATCTTATACAACATTATTAGTACATAACTTGAGGTATAACAATACATCAGTAAAACGGGGACATTTATACAGCATTATTAGTATATAACTCCATGTGTAACAATACATCAGTAAAACTGGGACATGTATACAGCATTATTAGTACATAACTTCGTGTGTAACAATACATCAGTAAAACTGGGACATTTATACAACATTATTAGTACATAACTCATGTGTAACAATACATCAGTAAAACAGGGACATTTATACAGCATTATTAGTATATAACTTCGTGTGGAACAATACATCAGTAAAACTGGGACATTTATACAGCATTATTAGTACATAACTCATGTGAAACAATACATCAGTAAAACTGGGACATTTATACAGCATTATTAGTACATAACACATGTGAAACAATACATCAATAAAACTGGGACATTTATACAACATTATTTGTATATAACTCCATGTGTAACAATACATCAGTAAAACTGGGACATTTATACAACATTATTAGTATATAACTTCAGATGTAACAATACATCAGTAAAACGGGGACATTTATACAGCATTATTAGTATATAACTCCATGTGTAACAATACATCAGTAAAACTGGGACATTTATACAGCATTATTAGTACATAACTTCGTGTGTAACAATACATCAGTAAAACTGGGACATTTATACAGCATTATTAGTACATAACACATGTGAAACAATACATCAATAAAACTGGGACATTTATACAACATTATTTGTATATAACTCCATGTGTAACAATACACCAGTAAAACTGGGACATTTATACAGCATTATTAGTATATAACTCCATGTGTAACAATACATCAGTAAAACGGGGACATTTATACAGCATTATTAGTACATAACTTGAGGTGTAACAATACATCAGTAAAACTGGGACATTTATACAACATTATTAGTATATAACTTCATGTGTAACAATACATCAGTAAAACGGGGACATTTATACAGCATTATTAGTACATAACTTCAATTGCAACAATACATTTTATACGTGTTTGCTAAACATAAGTCGTACATAACTTAACAGAACCCGTCATTTTTATGAAGAGTATCATTATGACGTTAGTGAATTATATGTTCTAAATTACCATATTTCTATTTCAATACTAAGTTTACTATCTTCTAATCGCCAATTTCAGTTCACTTATCCGAATGGGGGAATAGACACGATCACTTAGCAAACCAAAAAAGAAAAACGGATATAATTCGGTCGTGTGAGAGGGCTTATCAATTTTCAGAACTCAGTGATATAAAGTTAACATATAGATGTGAATTGAATCTGGCCGTTTATTTTAGTAAACGACATTTGTTATTTGGTTCAAAGTTTATCATTTAAATTTAATTAACAAGTCTTAGATGGGGCTCATAATCTGCCACCTCACCATACATAAACATAAGGCAATACAGTTAATACAAGTCAAGAAAACAAACATTGTACAAATTTATCAGATATTAAGGAAAACTTTACAGCATATAACAAGAACATGACATACCTGGATGTTATACTAAAGGGTAGACAATTTAACATTAATTGTGAATTATTGAATGGTACAAGTTCAGTAACCCAGAGACATATATATATGTACATCTCTAAGTAACCTAATCAACAACTCAAGCTTAGGTAATGACTTTATGAAATTACAAACTTAACACAGTGGATATGACGAGTCATGTACATAGCAAAAACGCTTGGAAAAAAAATATATGAAGAACACTTCCTATTCATATTTGATGGAAAATTGAAACTAATGAAAAATTCTCATCATCCAAGTCTGGAACAATTTAAAAGAAATGAACAATATATAAAGGCTCAAGAAAAGAATGCAGGAAAGTAGGGGATGGTGGTGGGCTAAAATTGAATGAAAATGTTTTAGTTTACCAATGATATAAATAGACTAATATAAATTAAATAAACTGGCCTTGACCGTACGAACCTTGTTCCGCCATATTCTGCTGTCAGCTTCTGAATAGAAAATGCTGCGTCATTTATATTTTTAGCGGTCTAAAAATAGCCAACGAATTAGTACGCACGGGCGACAGTTGGACCACCTTGCTCCACCCACAAATTACCTCCTTCCTCTAATAATTTAAGCCTTGTATATAATCACAATCAGCCTGTATAAATAACATTAAAACTAGTTTTAATTTGCATATATACCGGACCTCCACCATGGCAAGCTAGTAAGTCATAGAAATAACAACTAGAACACAAGATGTGAATTGAATCTGGCCGTTTATTTTAGTAAACGACATTTGTTATTTGGTTCAAAGTTTATCATTTAAATTTAATTAACAAGTCTTAGACGGGGCTCATAATCTTATGCATAAATAAAGTAAAGCAAAAGTGATGCAAAAATCATCCCCCATCCGAAGCCATGCTGATTTGTTAAAGGGCCAACAAACCCCCTTTGCGAAAGTAGTTGATTTTGAAAGAAAGGGCTGCTGAAAGGAATGGGGACGGGAAGAGTTCCTTAATCCAATGGCTGTAGCCTCCAAGAAGCATTCAGAATGGACATTTCCCCAAGCAGTTTGGGGAAATAATTGATGCCAACGACGAAAATTACTATCATAATATAATGCCGCAGCAAAACCAGACCTTCTGGACAGAGTCTGCACGATGTCGGCATATTTCATCAGGCCTGAAATAGCCTGAGGGTGAGACTGTACATATATGTGGACAAAAATGTGAAAAGCCGAGAGCCACTGTTCCATTGATTTAATTTGGAATGTTTTCTGTCTAGGAATCAAAGCCAATTCATTATTTTGAAATTGAATTTTGAATTGTTCTGGATCGGAGGATTTTTGGATTAAAAGGCCAAATGCAATAAATTCACCCGCCAGAATTTTTTATTTTAATTTCGCATCCACGTGCAGATCCAAAGGTCTGGAAATGGTGGGCAATGAATGAACGGCATTCTCACCAGACACATTAGCCAACACCTGGTTGATTGGATTTAGAATGTCCATTTGAAATGGTGATGCAACAGACATGGTTGGTTCACCCACATGAAAGTTTACAGATGCTGAAGGTAGTGAACCTGAAGGGGCTGTATGAATATTCGGATCAGGAACAAAATCAATGACTGCAGAAGCTGGAGACCCTGTTGCTGCTGCAGGTCCAGGCTGAGGGACCCCTTGTGATATCACATTCCCATTGAGGTTTCTATCCTGATGGATGACAGCTGTTGGCTGAGAATTTTCAGACATCATGGCAGGTTGGGCAGTAGATGGTACTAAATAACCCTCTGCCTTCATCATTTCAAATAACTCCCGTACAATATCCCTAGTAGGTGGGATGGCAGGGAATGAGCAATCTGGTGCAAGCCTGGAGACTTGTGAGTTTGCGTTATCCGAATGATCAATTGCCGGTGTTGCGGAAACAGCAGTTCTGTCATTGCATTGCGACGGAGAATTCGCTGATCTCCGTCTACTGCTCAGTAAACTATGTTGGAGGGCAGCCCTCCGTCTTGTCCTCCGCCTCGGAGTGGACCCATGATCTGTAAATTAATAAATCAGGAAGTATCTGGGAAAACCAAATTATGGGATGATGAATGTGAATAAACTATGAGGCAAATTTTTAAACCCGGTATGATAAGCACAAACACATGAACAAACGCGTGTTGAAACCGACACATGAACTAACATGTAAATAGTCAGACACAAACACACACATGAACTCACGTGTGGTGAAACAGACACATGAACTCACATGTCATTAGTCAGACACAAACAAACACACATGAACTCACGTGTGGTGAAATAGACACATGAACTCACGTGTCAAGAAACAGACAAAAAACACACACACATGAACTCACGTGTGGTGAAATAGACACATGAACTCACTTGTCAAGAAACAGACAAAAACACACACACATGAACTCACGTGTGGTGAAATAGACACATGAACTCACGTGTCAAGAAACAGACAAAAACACACACACATGAACTCACGTGTGATGATACAGACACATGAACTCACATGTCATTAGTTACACAAACACACACACATGAACTCACGTGTGGTGATACAGACACATGAACTTACGAGTCAATAATCATACACAAACATACACACATGAACTCACCTGTGGTAAAACTAAGACATTCACTCACCGTCAATAATCAAATAACATGTTAATCAACAAGTTAAATTATATAAATATATACCCTTACTATTTCAATCATGAAACGTGTTTCACGACAATATATAGTAAAACTTGTCGATAATCGCATTAGCTCATACGTAATTACTAAAGGTTGAATAACACAAAACACACACATGAACCCGCGTGTGATGAAACAAATACATACATTCGTGTGTTTAAGAATAATGACAAGCTATCAACTTACACGTTGTATAAATATGTCCCAACGCATACATAGTAACAATTCGCTTCTAAAACACCGTAAACAATTGTAAACAAACGACAGCCATGACCAGCTAACAGCTTATCAGACTAAATATGTGAACCCACATCATGTAAATATCTCGCCTAGAGAGACCTCAAAGAACGCGCACGTGTACAGGATAATACTCGACGTTAACCAAGCCCAATTCACCAAGAAAACCTTAACAAAAACATAATATTAACCATATCAAATGTATGATGACCTATCCATTGCATTAACTGATCAGTTCGAACCAACAATGTATCACTGACACGCATTGACTGTCACTGAAACAAGATACATATAATGACCAATATAACAATAACGAATTGTTTACACACCACTGCAGCTGGGCGGAAATACCTGTGTACAAAAGTGTTACCACGTATGAGTAGACTACCCCTTGACGTCATTGCTATCTCGATATAGCATGAAAGCGATGTACTAGTAAACAAACCAGAAGTTCATGAATATTCATGACCTTACCTTATATAGGTAGGAAATTTGGTCACGTGCTCGTGCTGGCCAATCGCACACCGTGAAGAGCTGCTCCCCGGACGGAGTAGATGTACTTGCGCATTCCCTTATCAGACAAGTGTACACCATCCCTACACAGATTTTCAGAGACGCCATCTTTAAGGCCCTTATGCCGCCAATAAAAACAAACATTTGATACAGCACAACGCTGCTTTAGCGTTGAATTCACCCAATCTGCTGAGGCATTATAGACTGACACAGGCGATACTCTAGTTTTCTGATGATAAAACAACTGTAGAAACCCAACCCGCTGAATATCAAAGCCGTGCACTAACCACTCCCCTATCGAAAATAGGTCAGTAACGATAGTGTCCTTCACCCGAATAGCATCAGTAAAAACACGAGCGTAGATATTGGGAATTTTGCCGCCACTTTTACCAAGACACAATACGTGCAACTGCTGTGGGTCAAAACCTAAATTTGTCCATGAACCCGTAAGACTCAAGTCCAAACGACGAATAAAACTACGACCCAGAACGACAACTGACGACATCATAAAAATTTCGTTGCAGTCAAGAACACTAAAATTGAACGAAAATGTTTTAGTTTACCAATGATATAAATAGACTAATATAAATTAAATAAACTGGCCTTGACCGTACGAACCTTGTTCCGCCATATTCTGCTGTCAGCTTCTGAATAGAAAATGCTGCGTCATTTATATTTATAGCGGTCTAAAAATAGCCAACGAATTAGTACGCACGGGCGACAGTTGGACCACCTTGCTCCACCCCCAAATTACCTCCTTCCGCTAATAATTTAATCCTTGTATATAATCACAATCAGCCTGTATAAATATCATTAAAACTAGTTTTAATTTGCATATATATCAGACAGTCATGCCAGTATTCTATGTGCTGAGTTCCCATTGTGATACTTGTGTGCATTAATTCGGGAATTTCAAACAATATTTTACTTTAACGTTATCGGACATATATTATAGATGACGTTTTACCGTCCTCTTCATTACAATATGCTCCAATAATCCCAGAAATACTTAAAACTACCGAAATGGTTACTTTCTGACAATCAATGTTTCTTTGCCCAATCCTATGGCTGTTCAGCTCCATGGAACATATATACTGCTTGCTGACCTGTCCGTCAAGGTACATTGAATCACCAGAGAACTAAATAATATCAATTACAATAAAATATTATTATTTTTTTTTTTTTTAGATTTAGTTATTTTATTTATTTTTTTTTTGTTTTTAGATTTATTCTATTTTATTTATTTATTTATTTTTTTTTTAGATTTATTTTATTTTATTTATTTATTTATTTATTTTTTGTTTAGATTTTAAAAAAAATTATTTATCTATTTATTTATTTATTTTTATTTTTACTTTGTTCTTTTGTTCAAATTTTAGATATAACGTTACCAGTTCAAGATAAGAAGAAAACAAATCCTGCCAAATATCAGAAAATACAATATTCTAGATAGAACGATAGATAGAAGTCTTTGGCTAAAAATTATCAGCGTCGATAGAAACGTATTTGGAGGTCTTCAAATTTCACACTACACGAAAAAAAACATTCACCATATCCTTTGTTCAGCAGAACTGAGTATGGTAATGCTGTTGACTTGACACAATTTGTGTTGTCGTTTGATTATATTATTTGGAGGTCTTCAAATTTCACACTACACGAAAAAAACCATTCACCATATCCTTTGTTCAGCAGAACTGAGTATGGTAATGCTGTTGACTTGACACAATTTGTGTTGTCGTTTGATTATTTTTAATGGTCTCACCATTTCCTCTCTATTTCCGTGTCTCTACATCGCCGCATGCGTCCGTCTGCTGTTATCATCACTTCATTTATGCACTTAATCATTGACTTGTAAATCTGTTCGCCTGCCTTCCCGCAGAAACGAAAACTTGTACATTGTATACAGGTAAAACATATGTGACATCGACTTCCAGATATTAAGAAATATCATGACACCTGTAAAATGTGAAAACATCAAATGAAACAAGGTATCAATAGATTGAAGTTGATAACGAATATTGGTAAATGTTGGCATCGTTTCATGATCTAGGAGGTAAATTTGTTTCTCAACGCTCATCAATTAGATAAGGAAAGCATTTAGCTGAAATATCATATTTATGTTACCTTAGTACATATTTGTTGTTTTTTTTTCTACCCATTCGGCCATGTCAAAAAATGAAATAAAGCACACGTGACGTCATGAATAATACACACCTCGACGATTATCTCGGTAGAACATATCTTGTCAAAATAAGTCTGTCTTATCGGGCAAATGATTTGAGGGTTTTGCTTATTGTTCAGCACAGTTGGTAATATGATAGATATGAGCTTACACTGGAATTGGTTTCCTATTACATCGATACATATGTAGGTCTTCTATGTACATCATATAGAAAAGGAATTAATGTCATATTAAAGCGCATGTCCTTTTCAGCAAACATTTAAGACAAGACTTTAATTAAGTGGACAAAAGATAATCTAAGGTCCCTACAGCATCTAATGCAGTCTTCGAAATCCTCATAATAATAAGATTCCTAGAGTCAATATAATGTAATGTGCAAAGAATGATATGTCAGATTTTGATGCAACAGTGGTTTACTATATCGAACGGTCCCGTGACAGCATTTGAAATTAAATCCAAACAATGTGAGGGGAAAACATGCATATAGGTAAGTCGTAACATCAATGATAATTTGCGCTGGAAATACCTATAGAATCACGTTTTGTGTATGAAGAACAAACGACTTCAATGTCGTGATTCTGGATAATACGACATGACAATCGACACAATTTCTGATTTACTTTCGAATACATAATTACAATGGCAAAGCACTTTTCATCCCCCCATTATTATTGTGATTCTGCCTGTGTCATTAGCTACTGAAACACAATATACCACTCCCGGTGTTAATCCGTATTGCTATGTATAGTCAATTATAAATACTAACAGGAACTGTGTAGAGGTCTGTGATAACGGAAGTTTCCTACAAATTTGAAGTATTTTGAAAACATCAATAAAAAAACCCTCAAAGAGCAAAATATATCTGAGGTAGTTCTTTCGTCACGTTATTAACAAATTCACCAAGTAGCTATTAGTTTTTTTTTTTCTGATTGGACACATAAGAAATGTATGTTGTATCAACATCGATCAGTAATTGGATATTTGATCAATCTTTTTCATATGATGCCCACGTGCGAAAGTAATTTTCCATTACTCTTCAAAGGAAACAGTCATGTATCATGGAACTAACCTGAGAAACGTTTGATATAAATTTTGTCTATAATTGAAATAATTGTACACGTGATTGAGTGATGAAATTATTCTGGTCAAGGTCATACCGGAAGTAATTAAATATTTAGTTAATGTTCATTCCTGGAAGAGGAACTCTGAGATAGAAAACATAATGTGAGAGTTAATAGATTTTTGAACAATATGACATGTGCGTCATTGCTGATTCCCCAACAAAATATCTGTAACGCAACACAACAATACAAATGAGACTCCATATGAGGGGATGCCATCGGGTCATATAGTGGTGCAGTACGACGTACACGTCTATAAATGTACGATAGCAGGATTACAAGATAACATTAAACTATCGAAAACATTAGGATACATACTGAAGGTTGAAATGCAGTACACGGTGTTCCGGAATAGCAAGCGTCGTCAGCTTCATCGACGACACTCGCTAGAAAGATAATTGTCAACCCTAGTAACATCATGTTCTCATACGGAACACTCTGAACTAGTCATATCGTTCAGCAAATATAACAGTTCGAATGAGATCATGATAATGACGGTCCATGGAGTAGACTTTCAAAATGTCTTCATCGATCTGTATCTTTCGAAAACCTCATCTGAATATCATTCCCGCTGTCAACATAAGTGATAGAAATCTTGATGTCTGAACAAGTCTTAGAATAAGTGCAAATATATAGAAATGGAAAGTATTAAAGGCTTCTCTTACTGTTCGACAGAAAGTTGGTTGGTTGTGTTTTGACAAAAGATCGTGGTAGACGGTTGAGGTGGAATTATCAGTAGTTTTATCCATTATAAGTTATGACTGTTATGTAATATGCCCAATCCCTCTTTGTTATTTAAGTACAGGTTATAATCTACATAAAGGTGAGGGAAACAGAAAAACTTGATTTTATGATGCGCAAGCAGGAAATGTAATTGGGCTAGGGGCAAGGAATATATCACAGGAAAAATAAATGCAAATACAATCGATCATTTTTTATGTAAATTGCTTACATCGGAAGTAATAGCATGAAATACAGACCTTTGGTGCCCTTCATGAGAGATATGTCTGTTGTTATCGTGTATCAAACGTCGTGGTGTGCCGTGTGTCGTACCCGGACGCCTATAATTTTTCTTTCAAATACTACACCTGTTTAACGCGTGGGTGGATTTCAACTAAATTTGATCTGAAAAAAAAGATCATAGGAGACGTGGAATTGTTTCTTAAATTCGACACCTCGAAACTGGGAGATTTGTCCAAAAAATGGTATATTTTGCTTCAAAACGTTATTTTTCCTTATTGGTTGAATGGATTTCATGTAAATTTAGTGTGAAACCTCATTAAGGATTGCCAATTAGTTTTTTAATGTAGAAAAATGTTTCAACCCCAAGGAAATAACTAGCAGTACCCCAAAACAGGAATTAATCTAATATATTGCTTTATACTGCTAGCCCTTCTTAATGCCTGGAACATCTGTAGATTTCCACTAAATGTTGTCTAAAACATCACCTGGGTTGGAGAATCATTTCTAAAATTCAGAAACTTTATTTTGAGGGACTTAAGTGCTGGAACCCAAAGGAAGAATGGTAAGGCATTTTGCTTCTAAATTCTACTCCATCTTAATACCTGGATGGATTCATTAACATAATTCTCAAGCTTCATTTGGTTTGGCAATTAATTCTTTAAAATGAAAGTTGCTTCATTCGGCCCCTATTCACTTAGGGACAGGTCCCAAAAGGGGAAGGTAGGCATTCTTTCTTTTTTTTTTTCTTTTTTTTTTCTTTAGAATGCTACTTCATTTTTTAGTTCCTGTGTGGACTGATCCAATATTTCATCTCGAACATTATAAGCTATTGGTACTAATATCACACTTTTTTTTTTGCTTTAGAATGCTACTTCATTTTTTAGTTCCTGTGTGGACTGATCCAATATTTCATCTCGAACATTATAAGCTATTGGTACTAATATCACACGAGCATGATGCGATTCTTGACCAAACCTTATTTTTCGGTTTGGTCAAAAATCCAATGTAACTCATGTTAAGCAATTAGTCTGAACTACTTCCCAGTTGAGAGAGATTTAATTTGTTTAATTTGTTAAGGAAAATAAGCAGATCATAAGTTATTATTTCTTCAGCCTGGTCAATCGCAACTGTAGCCACACTAAACATTTTATAACATAATTACACAAATGTTTGACATGAACAGAACCTGTCATTCTTTATTTTCAGATACTTCATGGAATGTTAAACATTTGAATAATC